ATCAATGGCATATGTCCCAAATTACCCCACTGGGTGCCAGTTCCCATGGAAACTTTAAAAAGGGAGGCAGAGACCTAAAATAGTTCAGGCTCTGCTTCTCTCAGAACTCTTCCATTAAGGCAATAATGGGGGCTGTGTTCACATCTGGCTGGAGAAAGAGCAATTGTGAGCTAAGAGATGGTTGGGCAGCCCCTTCAGGGAGCATTGCTGGTTCTAAACACTCAGGCATTCTGAATCTGGCAGCTCTGGGAAAACTGGCCACCTTTCTTCTATTACAGATAGGGCATGGCTAAGTGCTGCCCCAACTCAGAGGCGGCCTTGGTGCTTTAGGGCCAGGCCTGGAACCACTGCCATAATTTCTACCTCACAGCCCTCGAACTCACATGCTAAGGTTGTAATCGGGTCAGAGGCTGGAGCCCCAGAGGTTACTCATGGGCTTATGGTAGCATCCCCTTGAAGAATTTTAGATTTGGGAAAGGCCTTTGAAATTAGACAGACTCAAGGCTTTGAGGAAACCTGGGGGTCCCAGAAGATGTGTCAAGGATTCCACATGTAAGCTAGTATTTTTAGGAGAACAATGAAAATCCAAATTGTTTGAAGAACTGTTGCAGTCCATTTGCATGTTTTATATTGGAATCCTATATGTCATTTGGAGGAATGAGCTCAGTTTCTTAAAAGACAAAATGAAACTTGTCCAGTACCTCTAGTCCAGTGCCTCTCAATTTGCTCCTATACGTATTTATCGAGCATATCCTTTGAGCAAGGACTGGGGCTGTGCTGGGCTGGGTCGGGCAGGCCTCGAAGGGCCTAAAACTTATTGTGTGGCAGAGTTGTTATGGCAGATACATAAATAATTATATGTTAGGCATATTGGAGTTGAAGAAACTGAGACTGAGAGGGTTTAAATGACTGACCGAAGGCCACATTATTAGGGGGGTGATTCAGTTAGGACCACAGTCTACTGATTGTGTGCGTACCTTTTCTGTTAGATCCCTCTGCCCCCTAGTGAGGTCCTGAGATGGACACTGATAAAGTGTAATTTTCCACTAAAATATAAATCCCACACAAATATAAAGTCAACTGAGTTAATATTAAGGTCAGTTCAAAAGAGGATTCAAGGAAAGGAGATATATAGTTGGTCAGTCAAAGGAATGTTGAAATCAGTTACCTAATAGATTCAAAATTGGTTAATGTTCTACAAGGCAATAAGCCCTAATTTTGGGCAGTTACCTTTTTATTAGACAGTAGTCATTTGCATGCCGTTGGGTAAGAATCATATACACTGTTCTCACGGAGAATCATTTCCTTGTTATTGGTTTTCTACAAGTTAACCTCTACTCTTACAACGTTGTAAAATCTTCTAACCGATAGAAGTCAAACAAAGGTACCCACCACCAGAAAATTAGAAAATCCCTAAGCATGGCGGGTATGCTAGTCCACACCCTGAATTATTTTGAAAGGGAACCCAAAGTTTAGCCTATTTCCAAACTTTGGATAATTTTTCTTGACACTAGTGTGTGTGTGCGTGTGTGTGTGTGTGTGTGTGTGTGTGTGTGTGTAAGCACATTTTCTGGGTATGTTTTTGTCCAAAAGTTGCAAGAGAGGGACTTCAGTCACTATGACTGAGACATTCAGCTCAATAGGTTTTGGGGACACTGAGAAAACATCCCAACTATCAGGATGATTTCTCGCCAAATATATCTGCTGCTCTTACCAGCTGAGGGCAAAGGGGCCGCTTTAGAAAACTGGATAAAGGAACTGTCAGGATAATCGGGTCACAGGTTATGAGGAAGAAGGCATCTTCCTCATTCTGCTCCTTCTGTTGGAAAAGGCCTCTCTGGGGGATGTTCCAGGGTGTACCTGGCTGAGGCCAGGATGGCTGAGCTAGGGGTCACATGAAGGATGGGAACTTTTGTCCAAGCAAATGCCTAAGATTTGACTCCAAGCTGAGCTTCTTGGGCTGTTTTGGTCCCTCTGGTTGTCTCTGTTCCTCTGTCCTTTGACAGTATAAAGACTGTTCGTATTTGAGTGGCACTTTGTTATATACCAAGTGCTTCTCCCTTTCCTCCCTGAATTCTTGCACAAATTCTATGAGATAAATATTATCATTTCATAGAGGTTAATTGAGTTGCTCAAGATCATGACATGGCTAGTAAGAAGATTCAGAATTCAAACACAGGCCTTCCAACTCCAAAATTCGATGTTCTTCCAGCTTATATCAGTCAGCTTTTTTCTAACATTTCTGCTGTTCTCCCTTGACCAGTCTATATGTGATGGGAAGCTTGAGAACATTCCAGAAAATTAGCTTTTCCCTGGTAGGCCACTGGGACACTGCCATGGCCACCCCTTCCAATATTTAGGCTGCATGTTACTGTTTGAACATCAGGGCCTTGGATCCCCTGTGTAGTGGCTGTGACTATAGCACCAGAATAATTGGAGAGAGGACACAGTGCCACTCCTCTGGACCTCAGGATTTCATGTGCACAATGTAGGTGGCAAACCAGTTAATTAAAGCCTTTCCATCGGTTCTGAGCTGACACTTTGGGTCCACGGCTCAGCTTTGCTCTCTTACTGGCCATCACTGTGGCGCCATCAATGGCGGGTAGTGAAGAGTTGCTCTCGACCTTTCTTATTCTCCTTTTTCCTTATCACAGGGCCTGTGTTTGGTAAACGTCTGTGGTCTGGTTAGGGTGTGTTTGTGTGCATCCGAGAGCTATGACCTGGGCGATAGGGAGAGTTGGGAAGGATGGGCAGACCAGTTACTTCATCAAGTCAGATCAGGGCTAATTAATGCCTTTGTTGCTCTGTCGCAGGGCCCAACATCTGTACCACACGCGGTGTGAGCTCCTGCCAGCAGTGCCTGGCCGTGAGTCCCATGTGTGCCTGGTGCTCAGATGAGGTAAGGAACCTAACTTAACTCCTTCCCCAGGCTTGGTCGCTTTCGTGCAGGAACAGACCCATGGGATAACTCCTCTCTCCTAAATACACAAGCGCCTTGTCCCTTCTGAGTAAAACAAGGGCAAAGCCTTCCCACTGGTAGATGCCGACATGAGCCATTATAGGGCTGTTACTCGAAGTGTCACCCAGGGTCCACGGTGTGGCCTGTGGCTCTGGCCAATTACCTTGGTCCTCCTGGCCTCACTGTAGCCACTGCCATCCTTTACCACTCTTTGCTTACTTCTTGTTGGGGTGCAGCACCCCAGGGAAGCAGGGCTTCAGGTCTCAAAAGGAGAGGTGGGAGAGAGTTACAGGTATACAAGGGATGCTGTACCTCAGAAGTTTTTAAAGGCAAGTAAGAGAGGGGTCTTGCCCTCGTGCGGGGGCCTGTTTAGTCAGACCTTTTCTCTTCCCCTTTTCTCTCTGATGATTGGGCCCCGTAGCTATCTATACCTTTTTCTCTCTTCCTCTTCTTTTCTTCTTTCCTTCCCTCTCCTAGGTGTCAATGAGGGAAGGAGCTGGGCCAATTTGGTGAGGACGGGAGGATGACAAGAAAGGGTTAGCTGTGTCTAGGCAGAGGGTTTGTTGTGTCTGGGGCCCTAGGGAATGAGTGTGTCTGAGGGAATGGCTATGTTTGTGGCTGGGACGGGAATCTGGAGCTGGCAAGACCTGGCTGAGGTTGGGAGGGTGGTGAGTGTGGCTGGAGAGATTCCAGTGATTACAGAGTCTGAGGCTGAGTCATTAGCCTGGCCCCTTGCAGGTGGTTACCTGAACTTCTGGCCTAACTGCTTCTCAGCCACCTGAGGTACCCTCTCTGTCACGCATGTTTCTGCCCTCTGTGGTTTTACGACTGCTCTAACCCAGGCCCTCATTCTCTCTGTCTGTTTCTCTTCCCAGTCTGCTGAGTTTCCTAAAAAGGCAACCTCCCTGACAGGCGGGTATGGGGGGAGGTAGGGGAAGAGAGGCTGTGTTTATGCCTCCATAAGAGGACTGCCAGAGGCAGAGGCCAGCCCAACACACTGATTTGGCCTGTGTGCAGTTCAGCACGGGAACTGCTTCCAGAGGCAGCTGCCCAACATCTGGGCCACACTGATTTCATTTAGCAAATGAAATATTCCCTGGGGCTGGGAGTTGGGGTGGGGAAGGGGAGGGTTGAGTTGTTCCCCCCCATCCCCTCAGGTTCTCCACCCCTCTGGGCTGAGCTGGCTGCTCAAGTGTGGTGTGGCCTCCTCCCTTCTCATTTGCCATTCCTCCTTCCCTTGGTCACCGTCATGATATTATTAAGCTTCTTTTACAAGGAAGTTGGAATTCAACAGCTGGATCCTGGAAGAAGGGAAAGCTGGATGGGGAGGGCGACCGATTGGATTGGATGACCTGAAGCTGGCTGGAGCCGAGGGGTACGGGCGGCGGGGGGAGAAGCCCTAGTGTCACTCACAGGATGCTCCCCCTCCTCTTTCCTCCTTTTCAACCCAAAGCAAGAGAAAATGGAGACAACTGTAGCCCAGAGGAGTCTAGGGAAGAAGAAAGTGCACATATTATTGGAGTATCTGTCACCTCTCTTGGTCTACATAGGGACAAGCTAGATAACTGAGGGATGCTGAGGCCTGACCAAATAAAGCCCTTACACCTCGTGATCAGATTTCAGAGAAGCAAATGTAGATTACTTTTGATGACCCTTGTGAATTTTGTCCCCTGGGACAGACCAGGGGAGGGCAGCTGTTGGTAAGGGGGAAGGTACAGGGTAGGATCAAAGCATAAGGTAGGACCAACCTAGGAATGGGGAGTGGGGTCAAAGAGGAAATGGGTGCATCTTGGACCAAAGAAAACTAATAAGAGGAGGAAGAAGGTCCAATAAGATATTCTCTGGGAGGATGGAATATAAATAGGAATGTGGGGGAGGTCAAGGATTTAATGAATGACTACAACTATCTCTGAGCTAGAGGGAAGGACGGGGAGAACAGGAGCCCAACCTAGGAATGAGGAGTGGGGTCAGAGAGGAAATGGGTGCATCTTGAACCAAAGAAAACTAATAAGAGGAGGAAGAAGGTCCAATAAGATATTCTCTGGGAGGATGGAATATAAATAGGAATGTGGGGGAGGTCAAGGATTTAATGAATGGCTACAACTATCTCTGAGCTAGAGGGAAGGACGGGGAGAACAGGAGCGGGGGAGGAGGGGAAGAAGGGAGAAAGGGAGAAGAAAAGGAAGGGAGGAGGGAAGGACAATAGAAGAGCCCCTTGTGGGGCAAAATGCGTCAGCCAAGGAGGAATGGGAGGTGGGAATCCCAGGCTGTAACCTAAATATGGCTGCAATGTTTTTCCTGAGGGCTTCCCCTGCACAGACTGAGTTTAACTGTTGAAAGTGCCTTGGCTGTTGACTTAACCAAAAGTGAACCACGTGGGCCATTTTGTAAGTGATTTGTTGATTAATCAACCCTGGAGAGCCCTCTGCTTCTGCCTCCCCTACCTTGGCTGTTGTAGGCAGGATTGGCAGTGTCTAGAAAAACAACTGGTTGGGCTCAGCTTTCTCTTGGTCCTAGAGGACAGCATCTCTGGGTGTGTGTAGCAAGCGCTTGGCTGGGCAACAGGAAAACATAGCCAATGTGGATGAGTGCAGAGTTTTGGGCCCATCTGCATAGGGTGTGTTCTGGGGGGATGTGGATACTCACATGGGTTGGGGTGCTGTGCTATCTTTGACTTGTGAATCTAGCAAAGAGGCCAGCCTCACACAGAGATACAACTTGTGGTCTTGGCCTCAGTGACGCCATGTTGGAATCTAGACCCTTCCAAACTTGCCTGGTGGTGAGAATTACTTGGGGTGTTTTTAATATAAAGGTTCCCGGGATAGACCCTGTACCTATTGCATCAGAATGGGTTGTTATGATAGCAAGTTTGGCAAATACTGCTAATTGAAAGGGCTGACCATTGGGGTCATGATGGGTGGAGGTGGATTTAAAGTTGCCAGATAAAATACAGGACACTCAGTTAAATTTGAATTAAACAACAAATTATATTTACTATAAGCATGTCCTAAATATTTGCTAAATTTTCAAACCTAAGGTGGAGGGAAATACTAGGAATTTTAATGTAGTCCTGAGTGCACATCAGAAGGTGGACCAGCTCACACTCAGCCTGATATTCAGGGGTGAAAGAAGAATGGGTTTGGGTCTAGCAAAGTAGAAGACTCCAACAGGACTCGCTTATTTTCTTCTTTGCGTCTGCAGGGGAAAGGTTTAGGCTACTTTTCGTTCCTTTTTAGTCATTAACATAATTTTATTCTCACTGCTCTGCTGCTATTTTTTCCTTTCCACCTTTTTTCTTTTCTTTTTTTAATCTGGAGGATTAATGTTCATCTTGAGAGTTTTACTCTACCTTGTAAGTGTAAAAAAATATATATGTATATAATATTAAATGAGCTCCTCTCCCTGTAAACAATGGGGTGTGAGTTCTAATAACCATGAACTAAAATGCTTTCCTATTCCTCTCCTTTTTTCTGTCTCCTCCACACTTCTTGTCCCAGTGATTTCTTGTCCTCACTGGGTGTCAATCAAGAGAACAGTGGTAGTTTATTTGGATGGGGGGTATTTGGTAACTCTCTGGAGAAAAAAAATAAGTACCAGGACATGTTGTGTTTTATTCTTCAAAAACAGAGTATACAATAATGGTAATAGTTACATCAGTAATAGTAGAAAAGAGTCACCTTCTATTTGCATTTACTTGTTTAAATCACATCAAAAGGATTTGAATATATTTGACTTATAGTGAGATTTTTATATTTTGAAAGCATTTCACATTCATAGTCTTATTTTATCCCCTGACCAACTTTGGCTGATAGGGAGGATAATGACAGTTAATCATGCTGTACTTCCCCAATTTCCAAAACGAGTTCAATGGAGAATGGGAGTAATAGCATGTGCCATTCTTCCAAGAGAGGGTGGGAATTCGGCTCCCACGGCACGTGGGCTAGAACCTCCCACCTCTCTGCTTCAGTCTTCCTTTGGGTCTTTGTTATTTTTGCCCTTTTAGTGTCATATCCGGTTTCACTGGGAGCTAAAACTCTGTTTTTCCTCCTTCTTCCTTCCAGTTTCTCTCTGAGTCACCTGGAGACATTCCTTCTACCTTCTCAGCCTGGGTTATTTAGAAAAGGCATGTTGCCCAAGTGTATTGAGGTCACTGCCTTGGTATTCTGCGACAGGAGGCTCTCGGGGAGAGCGTGGCTAAGGGGCAGGCCTGTTATGTTCCTGATCTCTGATGTCAGTGACCACAAGGGGAGGGAGGAAGATAGTTTTTGTTTCTTAGTGTTTATATTTCTAAGGAAATTCATAACAAACCATAAGGACTGTCAGCAAGGCTTAGTACTTCAAACTTTCTTCTGAGAAGCATTGTCATGTTAGAAAATGGAGTCAGGAAACCACCCCCCTTCAGACTCCAAACATTCTCTCCCTTTGCTGATGCTTCTTAAAGATACATGACGGCCTCGCTGTTCTCATTCGGTGTCCTGGTCTCACCCTTCCCTCTCCTTCATCTGTTTTAGTCCTGGAAAGGCTCTGCTCCTCAGTGCATCTTGGTCTATACAATCATTGCCTTTTATGGAAGGGTTTCTCCTTCGGCCTTTGCGGGCAACTGGAATCGGAGATAAGGTAGGAAGTTTTCTGAGCAAGGAAGAGACTGCTTCTTAAGGAAGAAGGGTTGAGAGAGATGGGTAGGGGCAGCAAGAGGTATTTGGGCACAGAAAAGCAAAGGGCTCATGAGTTCTCCCCTCCGCCATTCTGTCCTCTTCCAGAGTTGAGTGTGGGGAGGGGACTTTCATTTCTCTCAGAGACTTCAAAGATCTATGCTGTCCCTGTTAGAATCTCTTGAGCCAGGAAGGTTAAATTATGTGCACTATTTCCCACTGCTGATACCATTTCTCTACCTCATACCCATGAAGCTGAGAGAAAGAAAGAAGCTGCTGGCTTCCAGAAGCTCTTCTTTCCACTTTTTGCCCGGACCTGGGTGGTCCTCATATCTTTGTCTTAGTCCTTGCAGGGTGCTATAATGCAAATACCATAGACTGAATGACTTAACAACACACATTTATTTCTCACAGTTCCGTAAGCTTGGAAATACAAGATCAAGGTACCAGCAAATTTGTGTCATTGATGGCTGCCTTCTTGCTATGTCCTCACGTGGCAGAAGGGGCCAGGGAGCTCTCTGGGGCCTCTTTTTAAGGGCACTAATCTCATTCGGGAAGGTTCTACCTCATGACCTAATTACCTCCCAAAGCTCCACCTCTTAATATCATCTCCTTTGGGGGCCAGAGTTTAACATATGAATTCTGGGTGGACACAGACATCCAGTCTGTAGCACTGTTGGTGGTGTCATGTTTCCATCCACGTAAGGAAGCTGTTCAGCCTATCCGGAGGACTGGGCAGGAGAGGGAGAGGGACTCCGAGCATCTGGAGGGGTTTTTAGGCTACAGAATCCAGATTTTTAACATATGGATGGCTCCTTGTGGCCCAATCCCTCTCCTGGAAATACAGCTGCCAGCCATATCCTCATCTTGCATTCTACTCCCTACCTGGGGCATTTTCAGGTGTGACTCTTCCTGGGCCCACTGCTTCCACATGCTTGCTTCTCTGCCTTGAGTCTCACTCTTTACAGAATGTAGTACAACATATCATTTTGTGAGGATAATTACATTCAGACTATCTAGTTAGCATCTCACTTCTGCCACTTCCTAGCTCGTTAACGTTGGGCAAGTTACTTAACTGCTCCAAGCCTTAGATTTCTTACCTGTAAGATTGGGTTCCTCATTTGTGAAGCCTCCAAGCCTCAGATTCCTCACTTGTAAAAGAATAATAGTTCCAGCATTATAGGAGGATTGCAGCAATCCATGTAAAGCGCTTGTCACAGGGCTTGCCATGCAGAAAGTGTTCAATAAATGTTAGCACTAGTAGTTCCGGGATATTGGCGTGACTTATTCTGCTTCTTCTGGAAGTGGTTGTGACGGGGTGGGTAGGGATGGGATGGTGGTTTGAGGGCCCGAAGGCCTAGATATTGTGAAATAGGTCCAGGGAGGGGTTTTCCAGCTTTCCCGCCAGTCCCCTCAACCTGGCAAGGAGCCCTCGTGGACTTCTGCCCACACAGACCGGCTAAATTTGCTAAATGTCAGAGCAGAAAAGGAAAGAAAATACCATGTCATCTCACCCCCTTATCAAATAGGTGAAGTAACTGAGGCTAAAAGGAGCAAAATAACTTATCTGAGGTCACATAGCTAGTTAGCGGCAGACCTGGGATTGAACTTGTTTCCTGATTTCCAGCATTTATCCCAGTGCAGTGTGTCTCCCATTCAATATTCAGATGTAAACACACAGAGCTCCAGAGGGCCGTGGAACACGCACCAGAGTTTTTGAAGGGTGCTCAACTGGCTCTTTGTCCAGGATAAGGAAGGAAGCTTGAAGTGATAGGACAGCCTCTGGCCAGTGGCCTGGCATCATGAGATTTGCCCAAGCTCGTGAAGTTTATTCAAAATTAACTTATACAGGAACGAATTATTTATAGAGTATCTTATAATAATAGCTAACATTTATTGAGCACTTACCCCATGGAAGGCCCCATGCTCTGTGTTTTAAATGCATTGTCTTATCTAGTCCTGCATAACATCCCCGTGAGGCTGGGGCTATTATTATCTTTATGTTATAGCTGAGGAAACAAGGAAGGAGAGATTAGGTGACACTAGTAACTGGCTAGTAAGAGGCCATGCTGAGATGTAGCCTCAGCCAATCTACTCCTGTGCTCTTAGCCCCTACTCTCTGCTGCTACCCCATAGTTCTTCCCCTATCACCTCTGTGCTAAGTCCTGGTTGGGTGCTGGGAACAGAGAGGAAACAGAGAGGAAACACAGTGGCTTCCAAACTGTTTTGACCCTGACCTCTAGAAAGAAAAACATTGTATATCATTATTTGTTATACATATTATACCCCACTCTCCAACATATAAATGTTTCAGGAAACAATATTTACTTTTGTATATAAACATTATTTATATGCTTTGATACTTTTTGTTCTATCTGATTGCATTTTTATTTAATAAATGGAGACCCACTACATTGATTTTTGGGACCCGCAAGTGGATTGCATTTCACAGTTTGAAAAATTCTAGTTTAACAGACATCTTACTGTTTTGGCTTCCTTCTTAGCTACGAATCCAGAAACAGACACTCACCCAACCTTTCTGTTACCTCGGTTTCCTCCTTCTGTACAATGGGACTACGGTCTGTCTTAGGATAGACCACATGAGTTCATTTACTCTGGTTTAGCTCCAAAATGTTGGGTAAGCTCCAGAGCCTACTGGAGATAGAGAGCCACCATAGCTCCTGATCACAGCTGCCCCTTGGGCTACTGTCTTACAGGCCCTGCCTCTGGGCTCTCCCCGCTGCAACCTGAAGGAGAATCTGCTGACGGATAACTGTGCCCTGGAGTCCATCGAGTTCCCCATCAGTGAGGCCAGCATCCTGGAGGCCAGACCCCTCAGTGACAAGGGCTCTGGAGACAGCTCTCAGATTACTCAAGTCAGTCCCCAGAGGATTGCGCTCCGGCTCCGGCCAGGTAAGGATGCGGCTTATCATGGGGCAATACCAGACAGATGGGCACGGGGCATGAGGTGGAGGTCTGAGCAGGAAGCCTTGGCAAAGTAGCTCACAATGGAAATAGGGAGGGAAGAGAAGGATGTTGGGAGGAGGTGTGGGCAGGAGAATGGAAGATAAATGTAAGGTGTTGGGACTTGGAGTCAGAAGATCTGAGTTTGCATCTTGACTCTCTTATATATTAGCTTTTTAATCTTAGGAAAGTTACTTAACCCTTCTAACACAGTAGGTACTCAAAAAAAGTTTGTTTCTTCTTTCCTCCAATGCCTGTTTTACCTAGCTTATAGCTTCGTGTTGAGGCGCAGATGAGATGTAAGATGAAAAAACAATTTGTAAGCCCCTTTTCCATGTGAGATGTGGCAAGGGAATGGGGGCAGAAAAAAAGGGGCAGGAGGCTTTCAGAGGGAGGATGTGTTAGGCTTTTCGAAGCATTGATTTTGACTTTCTAATTAAATCAAAGAAAATTTAAGAGAGTACCTTTTACATGCAAGGCCTGTATTAAGTGCTGTGGGATTCAGAGATGGGTGGGACACAGTTCTCACGTTTTACAGAATCTGTAGTGTAGTAACTGCTGCAACCTCTAGGACTGGGTGGTAGACCCTGGAGATCCAGAAGATTAGGCAGATGGGCATTTAGAGATGGCGGAGAATTTTAGAAAATGGAAAAGAAAGATGAAAAGTAAGAGGATCAAGAGATTGGGAGAGGAATAGACTTGCAAGGGGAGAGGAGAAGGGACCAGGGCTTTCAAGTTTGGCTTGATCAAGAAGTTACTTTATCCTAACTGTGTCCAAATCCACTTATTAAGTCTTAGAGGGAGAAGAGGAGAAAAACTAACATCCTTCTGCCTTCCAGATGATTCGAAGAGTTTCTCCGTCCAGGTCCGGCAGGTGGAGGATTACCCTGTGGATATCTACTACTTGATGGACCTGTCTTACTCCATGAAAGATGACCTGTGGAGCATCCAGAACCTGGGTACCAAGCTGGCTTCCCAGATGCGCAAGCTCACCAGTAACTTACGGATTGGCTTTGGGGCCTTTGTGGACAAACCCGTGTCACCATACATGTACATCTCCCCACCAGAGGCCCTCAAAAACCCCTGCTATGAGTAAGTCCCTCCACTAGAAGCCAAGGCAGCACCCTCCTCTTCTCCCCAGGCAAGTCAAAGTCCTGGTTTCTATTTCCAGCTCTCGGGTAGCTTTGTTGACTGCCTTCTGGCCAAATCATAACTCCTCTCTTCCTTGGTCTTCCTGTCTGGCAAGTAGGCCAGCCTGTTGATCTGGAGTATTGTGTCGATAGAGTCCAAGGCTGTTTGGATATCTAGAAAGAAAATCCATCAGCTTCTTGGTCTTGGTCACAAATAAATAGGAGACAAGAGAGAATGGGAGAGAAATGAGATCCAAAGTTGAGAGAAATTTATGGATAAGTAAATAGAGGAATTATTTCATTTTACTGTCATCATTGCCTCATCACCAAGAGTATGAGTCTTACAGGGTTAAAATGCAAGGAATTAAGTCCTAGAGGAATATAAAAAGTGGGAATGATATTTATTGAACTCTTTAATAGTCTGTAAATTGACAAGGGTGCCTCTGTTGACACCTTGGCTTATTACTGAATGGCATGTTTATTTAATTGTTGGAGACTATGGATTATAATAATTTAAAATGGTGGTTACTGAGCCTGACAAGGTATGAATTTACTTTTTAGTTTCCAAAGTTATATGACATGCCTTTTTAAACTCCTGTCTTAACAGGGGTCGTAAGATTCCCTAGTAAACATGTCAGCCATCAATTAAACAAACAAGCCACTGGTCTGGTGATAGAAATACTCCTGTCTGGCACAGATTTATCAATTTATTGATAGTTCAGGGACATTGTTATTGATGAACTTTTGCTTTATTGTTGTGTTAATGTTACTTTAGAAAAGCATTAAATATGAGGTGATAGCAACAACTAGAGCCTCACTCTGATCTAAGCACTTGATATGTGTTAACTCATTTAAGCCTCACAACTCTTATGAGATATGTGCTATCACATCCCCATTTTCATAGGTTAAGTACAGAGAAACTTGCTTAGGGTCTCATGATCTAGAAGTAGAGGAGCTGGGATTATGAACGCAGGCAGTCTCATTCTGCAGCTCACTCTGTTATTCTCTGGGCTAGCTGGAGGTAAGGTCAGTGTGATGCTTCAGGTAATTTGAAGGGTGACTTTGAATCTGAACTGTTTGAGTAATGGTGGTTGTATAGAACTGACATGGGCACACCACTATCCATATTTGTTCCCCTCTCTTTCCCCACCACTCCCAGCACAGCCTTTTCCATCATGGTGTCTACTTAAATTATCTCCCTCCCTTCCCAGTATGAAGACCACCTGTTTGCCCATGTTCGGCTACAAACATGTGCTCACACTGACTGACCAGGTGACCCGCTTCAATGAGGAGGTGAAGAAGCAGAGTGTGTCACGGAACCGAGATGGCCCAGAGGGCGGCTTTGATGCCATCATGCAGGCGACAGTCTGTGATGTGAGTTTGGAGGGCATGGAGTGCCAGGTGTGGTTAATGCAGATCAAATGGGGAAGGAAGTGGCTCAATGGTAGTGATTCTGTGTGAAATAAGGGAGGAACTAAGCAGAGCTTTATATAGTATAAGCAATAAGTTGCTCCCAATAAAGAAGCTCTGCTTATATCCATTCCCTGGCCAGAGCTGACATTTTTTTGAACCTCATAGTCCCAGATGTTTTTTGGGGAAAGCATCATCTCACCTTCTCTGGAAGCCTATAGAATCAAGCTGTATTAACTTAAGCTCAGCAGAGTGGGCAGATGTTCAGATAGGTTTTCTTTCAGCCCAGCCCAGCTCTGCAGATGCAGGTGGGTTTCTAGATGGGCCATGTGATTATCGTTAGAAGAGTTATATTTAGAGTTGAATCAGGTGTCTTTCAGCTGCTTGAACTAATCTGCTATGAGATTGTTTTCCTAAGAGAACAGAAACCCCCGAATTGGAAAGTTCCAGTTTGTGTTCCGAGGACTGGGACTGAGTTCCTTCTCTAAGACGACTTGTTCAGACCTTCAGGCAGGGAGGTCCTTGGTTCTTTTTTTTCTGCCAACGACATGGCTAAAGTTGCTTTCTCTCATTTGCCTTTTTTTTTTTTTTTTTTTTAAACAGGAGAAGATTGGCTGGAGGAATGATGCATCCCACTTGCTGGTGTTTACCACTGATGCCAAGACCCATATAGCACTGGATGGAAGGTTGGCAGGCATTGTCCAGCCCAATGATGGGCAGTGTCACGTTGGCAGTGACAACCATTACTCTGCCTCTACTACCATGGTGAGATTGGCATCACCTATGGTCCCTGTTCACTATGGCCTACTGCCTTAACCTGGGCAGAGTCTTGTGTAAATGTGAAAATGGCAGTCCTTCCTCTGGGCAGGGTTTAGGGCTAGTTTCAGCCTGCCCTCACCCCCACCTCCATCAACTGGACATCTTCATCCAGGGTACAAACTGCACAACGATTAGAAATGATCTTGCCTGTGGTCAGTGTTACAACTACCTCTACTGCCTCCAGTATCAGCAGAAGCATCATGGCATCCGAATGGACCCAAAGGATTTTTGCAAGTCTAGCTGGAAAGCAGGCCTTCCTGTCTACTGTGCATGGATCAGCCCCTTCTTGGAATACCATGCTTATCTGTGGTTATTAGAAGGAGATAGAGGAAAAAGAGTCAAAGATCATCAAAAGCATGGAGAGCTGGTCCTGTGAGGAATGGTTACAGGGCTCACAGTCATTTAGCTTGACGGAAAAAGGCTAAAGGATGATTTAGCTGACACATGAGAAGACTTCTTATACATTGTTTTCTATGGCCAAATAAAGTTAAATAAGAGGAAATGAGTTTCAATTGGAAAAGGAGAAACTGCTTTTAGGCATAAAGAAAATGTACAGATCCTCAGAATACTGATACTCTGGGTATCTGGGGGGAGATGTGAATTTTTCATCTCTTAAAGACAATATAGCAACTACCTCATCTAGGTGGCTTAAAGGTACACTTATGTAAAGTCAGGAGCCTGTGCTGATGACCTCATGAGCTATCCACAAGGTCTAGGATCCTAGGGACATGTTCATAATTCACCAGCATCTCCACTGTGGCTTGAATTCCTTGGTGTCAGCCATATCTGAGTTGAACACTACCCAGCAATGGGTGAGTCAGTAACCATTGACACCTAACCTATGCAAGACTCCTTACCAGGGGCTGAGGGAGGTAAAGAGATGATATGGAGGTCCTACCCTCAGGGGGGTTTTAGTTTAGTTGAGGAGATGTGTTACCAACAACACGAGATGCATGATCAGTGCTAAATGGGCAGCACAATCAATAAGGCTTTAGATATTCAGAGGAGGAAAGCTTGTCATGAGCTGAGATGGTCAAGGAAGCCTCATGGAGAAGGTAGGACCTGAGCTGGGTCCTAAGGAAGGAGGAGGATTACCAAAAAGAAGGCTGCTCTAGGTGGCAGAAAGAGAGTGGGCCAGGTCAGTGTTAAGTGGAAGAGGGAGAAAGGTCGATGATGATTAGTAAGGAAGGTTGGAAGGGCCATGTGGTGGGGATTGCATGTACCAAGCCAAGGCATTTGTCAGTAGCTGCAAAATAGGAGGAAGCTTGTAAACAATGAGATCGAACAGTACTTGGCCCATGGAAGCTGCTCCTTGACATTAATGCATTGAATTTGAGTAGGAGGAAAGAGGTGCTTAGTTTTGACACTGCCATCCTATACCTCTTCAACTCTCTCTGGAGTTCACAACTGGCTTTGTGCTGCTACTTATCCCCTTACCTTATGTTCATCATGGGAAAGATTCAAGCACCACCACTGCCTACACTGTGGCCCAGAGAAGCCAAGTTCTATGGCTTAGAGTTTGGGGATATATGTGAATAGACTTCTTAACTAACCTCCCTACCCTCCCTTTTTATAGGATTATCCCTCTCTGGGGCTGATGACTGAGAAGTTATCCCAGAAAAACATCAATTTGATCTTTGCAGTGACTGAAGAAGTAGTCAATCTCTACCAGGTGACTATGCTACCAGGACTTCCTGGAGTGGCAGTGGGGCCTGTGATGGGTGGACTTGACTCAGGGAACCAACCCACGCAAGCATTCGCCATGGTCCCCAACCAGGAAAGATCCTCCTCCAACCTGTTCCCAAGAGTTAATGATTCATCTCCAACCTTGAACCTAGCAGGATGTGTATGTTGATGTTTGCAGTGGGGTAGGGGAGAAATTCCATGGGGTGAGGGGTGTGAGAAGTTTTCTTTAATTTTGCTCAGGGTTGAAAAACTGCTAGATTCCTGGCAATGACAAGTAAAATATCCTGTCTTTCCCTCAATCTTCATTTTGAGAACCTCAGCCTGATTTGGGGAGGGCTTCTGGAGACCACTACCTTTGTTTGGTCAGCCCTGGACATCTGTCTTCCTTTCTAGAACTACAGTGAGCTCATCCCAGGGACCACAGTGGGAGTTCTGTCCACCGATTCCAGCAATGTCCTACAGCTCATTGTTGATGCTTATGGGGTAAGTGTTTTGCGCTGGGAATGGGCCTGCTAAGAGACCACCTCACTTGGCATTACCCAGGAGGGCTCCAATTTGGGAGTCCTGGCTGCTAGTCCACTACCTTCCTCATGTTTTTCCAGGGGCTGGGCGATGTTCAACACTGGGAGCAACGCAGTCTTCTGAGAAAGAAATGGCTCAAAAAGGAATGCCAGGCCATGTTAGAAACAATGTGCGAAGAGCTTGGAGG